GGGTAGAACGAAATACAACTTCTGACGAGTTTTCTCATTTCTTAAGAATGTACTTATTTTCTTGTTTTATGTTTTTTCTTTTGAATTTTTATCCCAAACCATTCAAACCCAAGCTTAGAGACGTAGAGATTGTCGAACGACATTCTTTCCCTCACACTAGTCCCTGTGGAGACGATAAATCCCGGAGGAAATTCTTCCGAAAATAATATTTTTGCTTGCTGCTTTACCGCTTCAACAAATTGGCTTCACTCGCTACCGTGAATTTTGGTCCTTTTGCCACTGGAAGTGTTCGCTACTTGCTCGCTGGAGCTTCGCCTAGCGAACAGTTGCAAATTCATCTGGTTTGATTCCTCAGGACACAGGCTCTTTTGGTGTAACATTTTGGGGCTCGCTAGGCGAACCATTCTGCTCGCCTAGCGAGCATGACAGCTCAGTAACATTTCCTATAAGTAGCATGAGCTACTTTTTGTAAAAATATCTTTTTGTTTTGTTTTTGCTTCAGAAGTGATTTTTGTGCCCTAGAAACTCATTCTCTCATTATTCATCATCTCTTGACAATATTTTCCAAAAAGGTGGATTCTCATCCAATCTCGATTCTTCGACTCGGATGTTGATCAACCTTCTCCCGAAACTTATTGTGCAAACTATCATGAAAATGAGTGGCTATATCCCTCGTATGTCAAGGTTAGAAGTAGTTGGTTCAAATTTTATGTATTATTCTTAATCTCTTGTATGTGAACAAGTTGTTATTCAATATAGATGAAGTTATTTGCTACCATTTGTCCATTTATGATTTGGCTTGTATTAGAGATAAACTTTTCAAGTCTTGACCTAATATCTTCATCTATCAATTATAACAAATGCTAGAGATAGATTTGGAAGTTGATATCCGCTTTGTATCAATCATTAATGCTTATTGTTTCAAGTGTTAGGTAGAGAGATCATTTAACGGTCGAAACAATATTTTTCACGAAAACGATTTAGAGATGAACGCTTTTGCGAGGATACGCGATTATGTTGGTTAGAACTTCGTTCACATATTTGATTGGGTAAATGCATTTAAGACGGACTAACAAAACATAATCTTAACATGCTTTTATCAAACTTAAAGACCAATTTTTATTCCAATTTTATTATTGCAAACTCTTGTTACAAATATTGATACCATTCTAAAAACCCCTTACTCTTAAGTTACTAAACCGTTGAACGACACACATATATTCCCTTCAATCTCTGTGGATATGATAAAACACTACCGCAAATACTTTCTAACACCTGCGGGGCCCCTCTGTCCTTAGGGTTCCCGGAGACGATCATCTCGTCGTCGATTTCCCCCGCGTCGGGGAGCTGGTGCTTCTTCTTCCTGAGCGCCACGGGCAGCTTCTCGATTCCGAGAGTCTCGAACGGGATTGGCAGCTTCAGTCTCCTCGAACCGGATGTATGCTCGCGCCTTTTCTAGGAGGCCTTGAAGGGTGGTTGGCCGGTGGATTGCCACGGCCTCGGCGAACTTGGAGTTGTGGCGCAGCCCTTGCTCCATGAGATATCGCTTCATGTCGTCGGAAGTAGTTACCTGGACTGCCTCCGTGGTGAACCTCCCGATATAATTCATAAGAGACTCGTACCTAGACTGCCTCCGTGGTGAGCCTCTCGATATAATTCACGAGGTGATGGATTCGGACTCCAGGCTCTTGTACCATGTCATGGATCCCTTTCTCAGAGTTGTCGAGAAGAGCCTGCATTTGATGGCCTCCTCGGACATTCCGATAGTCGAGCACGGCTTTGATGTCCTCCAGATGGTCGTCTGGGTCAATCGTGCCATCATAGGTGGAGAGGATGGGCGGCTTCTCCATCCCGTAGGGGATGGGAGTCTCCATGATGTCTAGTGACAAGGGAGTTCGGTGATTGTCCTCATCACTTCGGACAGGGGAGCGCGAGGGGGAAGGATTGCGTCGAGTGGTCTGACCGCGACTCTTCATCCTCTTGCTCGGACCGTCAGATCTGCTCTTCCTAGGGGTCGGGAAGCGCCTCTCCTTCTGGGCAGGTGACCTCTCGCGCTTCTTGAAGGCCACGGTTTAGGGCCTCTCCAATTGTGGTCGGCGCCCCTGTTGACGGGGAGAGGGGCTCCGAGAATCCTCGCGCTGGGATCTTCGCGGGGGAGACGTCGGTCGTGTCTCGCGCAGTATTGGAGAAAGGCTTCGGGAAGGACGGCGGTGTCCGCGGAGGAGAGTAAGATGGACGATCCTGTTCTAGCATCCCGATATGCTCGTTCTGCTGGAACATCATCAAGTTGGTCTGGTTGATGGCCGCGAAGAGGGTCGTCATCGTCGGATCCGCACCTGCTGGTGTAGGGATGGGCTGGAAGGCAGCTGGGCTCCTTGCTCGTGGGGTGACGTTGAAGGTCGCGTCGTCAGATGAAGGAGATGTCCTCTCATCCCTAATATCGCCATCATGGTCGTTGACGGGCACACCATGATCGTCACCGTTGGTGAGCGGGTCGAACGCGGAGTCGTGGACAGCATCGTCGTGGTGTGGGCTGGCCATGATCACAGAAGTTGATGAAAGCTTTGGTTCTATTGTTCGGAAGAACGGGAAAGCTTTAGTTTCCCACAGACAGCGCCACTAATTCCACCTGATCAGAAGGAGTCACTCGCCGGCCACACGTCTGAGCTGTCTGACTGCTGGGAAGAATGGAGGAGGTGTACCTTAAACACACTTTGATGCCAAAGTAAGAGTCGGACAGAGTGATAACAAGTACAAAAACAGAAGTAAGAATGAGATTACCTGACTCTCTAGTGAAAGAGAGTATTTATAGTGTGCCTTCATCGCAAGGCCAACGGTTACTTCGCGATGGGCTGGGTTGTCAGGCCCAATGCTAGTAACTGCTAAGGCTGACGTGACGTTAGGAAAAGCAGCACGTGGTCTTTGCCCTAGTGTAACTACTCCGTGTTATCCGAGAGGTGGAGGAGCGAATAACCAGGGCACAGGTAGTTACCTGATGACGTGTCTCCGCGTAAGGGACACGTTGAGAACGTGAGGGAGGTCAGAGGAGCCCTCTGAGCTGGATAGGGTCTGCCCGACGGTTGGACAGAAAGGAGAGCGTGTCTGGCAGATGTGAGGTGCCTGCTTGACTACCAAGAGGTTCGTGCCCAACGGAAGAAAGGGTTCTGCCCGACGGGAGAAAGGGTTCTGCCCGACAAGGAGGTTGTTTAGGTCTTATTGGGTCTTCCAACCAAATGTGGGGTTGGATCTTCTCGACTGTGGGCCAAGTGTTGGCCCAATCCAAAACAGTCGGTAAAGATGGGTTGAGTTTCTAACAAGTACTGACTCAGAGAGTCAGCGATAGAGGATCTTCGTTATTTATTACTCAATGAGATGTGCCTAAAATTCAATAGTTAATAATAGGGAAATATATTAGATCAATTGTCTAAAATAGTCCACACATTGAGTTGTGGGTTGTTATGCCTAATTTTATTTGTCTAAAATAGTTCACTGGTTAAGTTGGGGACTGTTATGCCTTTTCATGTGTACCTAATGTTGTTCTAATATTGTTCGTAAGAGATCAAATTCCAAATCCACAAAAATGTACAATCATATAGACATTAAAACATAAAATAAGAATAATAAAATACTCACCACGTGAAATTAAAAAAACAAAATACCAAAAAAAAATTAAAAATCACAACTTTATGCAAATGATGCATGAGTTGCACCTAGACTATGATCAGAATATCGCAACAATTGACATAATATTTTTTGACATAATATTTTCAGTAGACTAGAATACATCGTGGCATTCAATCGCCTAATTTGGCTTAATAGTTTCAATCGCCCGGCACCTATGACACAACCACATGCCATGCAATGTATGTTATGCATATTTTCATTTCAATCGTCATTATTTTCGTCAATTCAATCAAAACTTTCAATTGCCTTTTTAATCATTCACATAAATACTATTTTATAAGCAAGAATATGCCAGACACAAATAAATGTAAAGATATGCCACACCAAAATGAGTACTTTTAACACTGGATGAAATGTAATAAAAGTATCACTTTGTATAGAAAAGCTTGGCGGACTCAAAGTCCAGAAATTGAAATCTAAATACAGTTTTTATTTGAACGAGGGTGTCTTTTTGATAAAGTGATTTGTTGTATAATTGATGCATCCTAATTTTAATCTTTGAAGATGCATAAGGACATATTTGGATTTTCATAGAGTAAGGATGTAGTGAACACCCATTACATATTCATATTTTCAATGACATAACTAAAACTAGTAAATAAGAAATACACAAAACTCTATGTCATACATGTGTACTTTGCAACACATTTTTATGCTTTTATAAAAATAAAAATAAAAAAACCACGTTACATATATTCAAAACAACAGATATCTCAATGCAACTCAAAACAACACATATCTTAATGCAACTCACTTCATATTCTAATTGTAATGGATGTTTTCAATGTAACTAGATAATTTAAGTATGAGAAGGAGCATGAAAAATACAAAAAATGAGATGTTTGAATTGTATTTTCATCTTTTACAAACCTTTTTAGAAATTAATTTCTAAAATATTTTTTATACTTTTGAAATTCATTTTAAACACATGTAAAATGAAAATACAAACAAAGCATAGATTAATAGCACAAGGGAGAAAAATCACATATTTTTACACTAGTTTACAATCTAGTCCATTTGTTAGAGATGTTTACCTTTAAAAACAAATGATTTTCCACTAAGTCTCATTAGGTGACATGTGTTCTCTAAGTCTGCAGGCTCTTTGAATGCTTTGACAAAAGTTCAACAATCCATTTGAATTTCAATCATCAGAGGTTCAAGTATGTATTGTTCTTGTTGAAAGTGTATACAAAACTATCATTTACCAAAACTAACCCCAAGGCACAAAGCACATCCACAATGCATGAAATTCATAATTAAGATGCATTTTACATGTATACTTACTAAAGAGGTTCGTAGCGGCAAAGTTCATGTCATTAGAATTTGTAGGCTCTTGTCTTCTTCAAATTTTTTGAGGATCCTGGCCTTGCGATTGTAACATAAATAAACCTGCCATCAAAAAACTGAACCACAAAATCCAGCTCCAAGGTAATCAGTACTTTATAGTATGGACAGGATATATACTATACATCATACAGTTGGGAACTAAGGCTTTTACAAGTCAATGCATACCTTTCCATTCATCACTTTTACAGCCGATTGTGCAGACTCTTCATTGACAAACCAAATATATGCAAATCCTAGAGACTGTCCCGATTCTTTATCTATCAAAAGCTTGACTGCCATGAGATAAATCAATCAAAACTAAAGATCCTTAGAGACTCGAGATTTCCAAAACTACTTTTAAAGTTCCATTAACACAAAACACATATACCATAGCAAGTGTTGTAGCACCGACACCATCGAACAAATGCGTCCGACATGAGTGACGTGTCAACGTTGTTTATGTGTTAGTGTTTTGCTTCATAGATAGCATATTTGTATGAAATAAAGGTAAATCCAAAGCTAGCTTGCATGTAAAGAAACCAACACTCAAAAAGGATTTATTTTTACCTTTAGTAACTTCACCAAACATTGAAAACACTTTGGCTAAATCCACTTCAGAGGTTAAGAGGGGAAGTCCTGCATTGACCAACCATGATAACTTCAGCACAATTACTTACCAATTTCAATTAAAATGGATGATTTATTTATTCATTTTGAAAACTCCGTATCCGACAGACAACTCCGAGGTAACCATTCTCACCGGCGGAGTCTCGTTTAAAGGCAAATCAATTTAATGTCCTTACCGTCCAACACAAAAATTATTAGCATTTGGCGTGATTGAAAGTTGAGACTTTGAGTGAAGCACACTCTCGAATCTCGTACTTTTACCAAAAGGCCAACCCAGGACTCTGTTAAAATAGATGATTTTTTTTTACCACCGGTATCCAGTCGGTCGGTTCAGAGTCAGTTCTGGCGGGGTAAAATGGATGATTCACTATGACTAACATCGCAATACAACAGTTTAATTGTAGCAATGGACCTATTCTAATTTATATGTCCCCAATTTGTACAAAATTGAAAGAGGCCCGTTATTGATGAAAGGGTTATTGAATAAAAAAGTTACCTTTGATGAAGATTTTGGTTGAAGAAGGCGTATTACATTCAACAGAAGACGTGGAGGAGGTGGAATCGGATGTGCAGCAAAACCGTGGAAAAGGCGGATTGCGAAGAATTTTGGAGGCAGAAATTGATAGTGAAGGAGTGGTTGAAAATTTTGTTGGTGATTGCATCAAATTTACAGAACGGGGAAGCAATGGAATTTGAGGCTTGCATAAACTACCTCTACAAAGTGCCATTGATTTGTGTTGTAGAGTTGAAGTTCCGGAAGATTATTATTTGTTGGACCCTTTCAAGCAACTGGGGCATTATTTGGGCCCAAAACCAATAATGCTCAATTCAAAATGAAAATTTTATCCCACACCCCTATTATTTTTCTCATCACTATACTTTTCGAAATGTTTGTATTCTACTTTTTATTTATTTATTTATCAAATAATTTTACTATTTAATTTTTTCATTATAATTAAGTTTTTTAATATTTGAGCCTTTCACACTCGAATAACTTTATCCAAAATATTGCAGTAAGGAATTTTCTTTTATAGAATAATTTGCAATCAAGTATTTCGATTATGTTAACTGGTATTTTAGTATTCACTGGATAATTTGGTTATAAATATTTCAATATTTTTTATTTTGTTCACCAGATAATTTACCTATTGATCTTACTGGTTGATCAGAATCTGAGGTGGGGCAAAGACAAGTGTTTGTGATGCTGAGTGTGAAAGAAGAGAAGGGGGATGTACCTGTAAGGCACTCTGATACTAAAGTAAACAAACAAGAGAGAGAGAAAGAGAGAGAGAGAGAGAGAGAGAGAGAGAGAGAGAGAGAGAGAGAGAGAGAGAGCAAGTACAGAATATGAGTATTTTAGGGTGAATATTGGATACATGACCCTCTCAAGTGAGATCATTTTTATAGTGCCCCTAGCGCTTGGTCATTGGTCCCTATTTTCGGGGCGAGATAACCATTTCCCGAAGAATAGGTAACTGCCAGAACTAGTCGTTGGAACGGGCAGACGTGCCCATTGGGCTTTATTACTGACCCATTGAAACCCTGTAGGTCAGAGCCCACGTAGGGAGTCAAATGTGATTCGTCCAGCTGGAGCGTGGAAAACAACTGGGAGTACATAATATCAACAAAGTTGCCTTGGTCGATGAGGATTCGTCGAACGTCAAAATTTGCCATCTGAGCTCTTATGAGCAGAGGGATGCTGGCGTTGGGGGCTCCGCCGAAGAGCTCATCGCGGTAGAAGCAGATGGGAACAAACTCTCCCTGGGCCCTGTCGAGGGTGGAGTTTCGATTCGAGTTGTTATTGATAAGGTGCTCGAATTTTCTTTTGACGGACCCCACCGTCACTTTGTTGAAACCTCCTCCGGAGATGACCATGACGGAGAGAAACATCTCCCATGGGCTGTGTGTGGCGAAATATGGAGGGACGTTGAGCCCCTCGAGGATGTAAAAATATTCAGGCTGCGAGACTCTCATAGCGACCCGAAGGTTGGCTTCCTCGGAGGAAGGCACTTCTTCCTCGACCTTCTGGGATTCCTGGGCGCCTGGTCGAGGAGCGTCCTTTCATTTGGCGAATTGCTTCAGATGTCCATCCCTGATAAGTTTCTCTACGGTATCCTTTAGGTGGATGCAGTATTCAGTTATATGTGTCGCTACTGCGAAAATCGGCGCCGGCTGACAGAAGAGTCGCCACCGTGCGTTATTTATCCCTCAGAGCGGGAAAGGAAACGCTCGAAGTAAACCTCGCAAAAAACGGGGAAAAGGTATGGTCATCGCAACCATAGCCTGGGTTCGGGAGTCGGTTACGCAAGGGGAAGGTATTAGCACCCCTCACGTCCGTCGTACTCGACGGGATCCACGCTTGCTTGGGTTGTCTACTGGATGCAAAACAATCTATCTACGGCTGCTAAATCTAAACGGAAGGGAACTGACTCGATAGAGCGTCGCACTCTATGCCTACGTATTCTCAAGAGAGAAAGTCAGAGTCAACGTAGTTCGGGACTACAGGAAAAATTGGCTCGCCAAGACATCGCGTCTTGTGCCTACGTACTTCCACTGGATGGAAGATCAGAGCCTTGCGTAGTTCAGACTAACTACGGCTAAACAAACATTCTCACACAGCAGTGAGAAAAACAACTGGCTTCACAGGGTCGGGAACCTATGGTCACAACTATGGCTGAGTCTCAAATGCGCTTGGGCAAGAGAGAAAAAGGGTACTCAATTAATCGTCAGCGGGAAAGTCTCGATCGCACAGCCGCGAGAGAACAAAAGTCAGTCGTTAGTGTGCTCGCTAGGATATCGCATCCTATGCCTACATATCTTCGTCTGGAACGAAGAATCAGAGCAGCTGTAGTTCGGCTACTATCGGACCACAGCTCAAATCTCGTTTTATTCATCTCTGAAAAAATGATTACAATGAGCATACTGAAATAAATCTCCTAGGAAACGCTATCCTATTCTATCTTGAAAAATCGACTGAAAATAGCCCCTTAACAAATGGGCCTCTAAGCTGTCCTAAAAGTCGTAAAATAATTTCTATGAAAGACCTAAAAGAAAACGAACTCTAAAAATATTAAATCGGCACTTTAATATTTTTTCCTTTTTTCTCCTTTTCTTTTCTCATATTTTTCTTTCTCAATAATATTTTTCTCCATTTTTCTTATTGAATATTTCTCTATTTTTCACAATATTTTCTCATGAATATTTTCTCTTTTTTTTTTTTCAAATATTTTCTTCTTTATTTCTTCACTTTTTCTTTTTTCTTTTAATATTTTTCTTTTTTCTATCTCCCTTTTTTTTTATATTTCAAATATATCTTTCTTTTCTTCTTTTTCTATTTTTCTTTTTTTCTATCTCCCTTTTTTTTTTATATTTCAAATATATCTTTCTTTTCTTCTTTTTTTCTATTACATTTTTCAAATCTTAAAAAAACACAAGAAAATGGGCTGGGGGGTGCAACTTGTTTACAGGGTTATATGCAGAAAAAAAATAAAATAAAAAAACAGCTAAACTGGGCCCAGCCCAAGTCTTCCCCGAAATTGCAGAAGGGGGGGGTGTTGAAGCAATCTGGGGCGTCTGGCAAGCAGATCCATGTTAGGCCTAGGCCCGTTTCAGCCAAAAACGGGGAGAGTAATTGATGCCAAAAAAATGGTTTGGGCCAGGCCCAATCTTCTTCCTCTCCGTCTCCCTTTCTTTTCCAAATTTCAGAACCCTAGATTTGTCTCTCTCTAACCGCCGCCGCCACAGCCTCCGTCTCTCTCGTTCTCCACCGTTCATTCCTTTCTCCTTCACGAATCCCTCCACACGTCGTTATTGAACCAACAGCAAATGAATCATATCGCCTCTCTACACAACCAACCTCAAACTCTGGGACGCTGATTCTGGATACATTCGTGGCGGAAGAATCTCAACGAAGACGAAGAAACGAAAACTTGAAGGTTTGCGAACGCGTGTTCTTGAAATGTCTGGAAAGCTCTTGATGAAGATCTTGGAACTTCACGAAATGTTCTTCGTTCTACTCGCTGATGAACTCATGGCTTGCTCTGGTGAGGAGATTCTGGAAAGATAGTGTAAGTTCTTCTGGAAAACGGATACGAAGATGATGAAGTTTCTGGAATCTTGTTCTTGGTGGAGAATTCGCACGGATCTGAGAAAAACATATATGGAAAACTTGATGATTGTTGATGGCTTCTGGAAATTTGTTGAAGTTCTTCGTTCTGATGAGTTTTTGGGAGAGATTGATGCAGATCTGGCGTTTTTCTGGATTTCTGGTGTTTGATTGATGAAGATCGAAGGTTGACGATGAAGATTCATCGTCTCTTGATGATTTTCTGGAGAATCGACGGTGGAGACGATGGAGGTTGGTGGATCGGTTGAAAGGAAGAGGATGAAGATAGGAGGATGAAGATGAATGAGGTGAACGGAATCTGGAATTGTTGGAGATCGCCGGTGGGTTGTGGTGGCCGGAGTACATGCACGGCGGCCGGAGGTGTGTCTCAGGCGAGGCGGCGTGACGCTTACACGTGGTTGCACGGTGGAGGGAGTGCGTGCATGCCTGCCACGTGTGGGCATGCGTGGCTGAGAGAGAGAGAGGGTGAAGTGTACGTGGCGTGGCCTGGCAGTGAAAAGTGGGTCCTCCCCCCATTGGACACGTGTGCTGCGTCTGATATTTAAAGTGAGAATTCGCTGGATCATTCCAGATCCTTCCAGAAGGAGCTGGAAAACGCTGGATACGCTGGACATTCTGAACCCTTTTTTGCTGAGTTTTCCTGGACAAAAATTGAACTGGGCTGAAACTTGGACATAAGCTGAACATTCTGGACAAAAACCCCCATACTGGGCCTGCGAAAAAATGAACTAAGCCCACACGAAAATGGATAAAAACTGCACAAAAAACTGAAAAAACAATATTTAAAAAAATGCTAATTAACTAACAAATAAACCCCTAATCAAACATTAAATCCACTTAATCCCTATATTAAATTCTATAATATCTATAAAAGAAAATAAAACCTATCTATTTTTATAAAAGAAAACTTTTATTCATTTATTATTTTTATAAAAGAAATTCTAGAAAAACAATTAAATTCTAAAAAACTATTAAAACTATTTAAAACTATTTAAAAAATCATATTAATATTCTAGAAAATCCTATATTATTCTAAAATGAAAAAAAATGATATTAAATTCTATTTAAAGGAATTAAAAACCTATTAAATTCTAAAATGAATTTAAAATCTATTTATATTCCATAAAATGCTAAAAATTTGATTTAAAAAGAATTAAAAATATCAAAAATTCTATTAAATCCTAAAAATTGCTTTAAAAGCTATTTAAACCCTAAAAAAAATCCTATAAAATCCAGAAAAATCCCGATAATTCCCAGAGGGACAAAATGAGCACCGAACGACACAAAAATAATCGGTAAAAATAAACGGGCACCGAAAAATCCCAAAAATCGATTCTACTGATCAAAAACACCTGAAACACGAGACGGGAGCTGTGATCCCTGATAAAATGAACAATGCAGTGTATGCAATATGCAGATGCGAATGCGGTTATGCGTCGAAACATCGAGCCAAATGCGAGACCCGGTTGGTCAAATTTTGGGGTGCAACAGCTGCCCCTATTCAAGCGGCTTCGACCTGAATGGGTGAAGAGCGCTTAGCCTTCAAACATTCAAGGTAGATGACGGTTGAATACAAATGGAACCCTGAAATTTGCCAACCAC